TAATATTTTAAATAAATTACCAATTATTAATATTTAAAAATAAAATAAAAATAGAGAAAATAAAAAATGAATCATAATAATATTTAACTTAAATAAATTATTAATATTTTAAAATATTAATGATTAAATTATTAATATTTTAAATAAATAATCAATTATTAATATTTAAAAATAAAATAATTTATCATAATAATATTTAAATTAAATAAAATATTAATATTTTAAATATTAATAACTAAATTATAAATAAATATTAATATTTAAAGGTCAATTATTAATATTTTAAATAAACTATCAATTATTAATATTTAAAAAATAAAATAAAATAATTAACCATAATAATATTTAATAAAAATATTAATATTTAAAAATATAATGATTAAATTATAAATAAAATATTAATATTTAAATTATCAAATATTAATATTTGAAAATAAAATAAAATAAAATAATTGATCATAATAATATTTAATTAAATAAAATATTAATATTTTAATATATTAATGATTAAATTATAAATGAAATATTTATATTTAAATGATTAATTATTAATATTTAAAAAATCTAATAAAAATAAATAGTAATATAAATAATAAATGATGTTTTTATCTTTTTATTTTCTATTCTTTTCTTATTTTAAAATTATTGTTACCAACCAAACACTGCAATAAGTTATAATAATTATTTTTGTCCTATCCCATTCATCGTACCAAATGAAGTAATAACTATTATATTCTATTCACACCTCATTCTATTATTACATAATAACTATTCTATTACATTTTTGTCTATTCCACCAAACAAACTTAACCTATAGTTTTTTCTATACATGATAATGACCGGCGGTTGTGTCCTCTCTTTCTCACCTAAAACTTGGATATAATCCATTTTTCTCATAAAATAGTAGAAAAGGGTTGGATAGTTGAATCGTTGGGGTGAGGAGGAATGATGGCCATCCCAAATCTTTAATGTCAACATCAAAAGGATTTTCCACCAACTTAAGAAGAAGTCCATTTTGGCCGTCCGCAATTTGGACAGTTACTGCCTTTAGAAGAAGCAATATCTCCATGAAAACAACCCCTTGCCCAAGTTTGCCTCTCCGCATTTTGGGCATCTTCGCAAAAGGGACAGCTAACCCACCTCGCCTTAGACCCCATTATTTCATTCCCCCTCGCACCCATGCCTGCATCCGCGCCCGTTTTTCTAGCACACCCATTTTTCCTCCAAAGCACTTCTTTGGCTCATAAAGATTTTCTTTTCTTGGCTCTTGCCCTACAAAGACCCATGGCTTTCCTTCGTCTTCTATAACGTGTACAATCCGCCTTACATGTAAATGGGATCCATAAAAGCTTTGGTTCTCTGTTGAGGCCTAACATGTACATCGAGGGAAAAGCAATTAGTAGGGTGAAACTAGAACCCTTGTTGGCAAGGCAAGGCAAGGCAATTGTAGCCATGCCCATACAAGGATTTGGACCAGTGAACTTATAAAAGCTAGTCAATGCTGGTAGGTGCAATTTCGGTCGGGCAAGTGATAAGCAAGAACTGTTCCCTTAATTATGTACGATGATGCGAGACCTAACAAGATTAGCTATAATATTAGCCGAGATCTCATGAATGCCTGCAATCGTACCAACCTACTGCCGTGTCCCATCTGAAAAATTTCAGGACCAGAAACTTTACAACTTAATTGAGAGGACAGACATAATGTGGATAAACCTGCCGCAAGAGGGACCAGAAGCACAGCAGTTGGCCACCGCTAGAGTTGTGACAGCACACAGGGGGCCCTCTGGCCAGGAGGAAGGCAGAGCCATCGAGATTGGTTCCAGAACGTAGCGAAATAAACGGAAATCTCAAGGCAAGACAATTGAGACAATTTCTTCATCGGCTTTCCCCCAGAGGGGCCAGACCATGGTGAAAGCTACAGCTCAGAGTACGGCACCCAATGGAAACGAACCAACAAGAACTGAAGTGCAAATTAAATGCAAGCATTTATATTTTTTACAGGCTGATCCACTGAAACCACACCACCCAACAAAGTAAGGTATACACAAACGAAATGTTTCATTTCTAAACCTAAAAATCTTCCTATTCTTTTTAGACATAAATTAAGAGTTTGCTTTCCCCAATGCATTTTCATTCACTCTTGTATTGTCCTTGAGCAAAGCTCTCAAAAGAAACAAAGGAAAAGAAAAAGCCTAAGCAAACTAAACTACCAACATTTCTTCTCCCACCATTCCAAACCAAGGAAAATAAGATTAAAATATATAAATAAGAAAAGTTCTCAAACGTTCATGTTTCAGACCTATGCTCTGAATCCAAGCTTACAACAGTCCCTTCACCGTCCAAAGATGATGCTGGAAATTTGCATCTTGCACTCATCTTCTTCACCTCCTCACTTGAATATATGAAGATCTTTCTCACCATCTTACAAAATTCCCTACAATTAAAATAAAGGAATTTTTTTTTCTCAAAATCAGCTCTGGAATATATATATCTATATATATATATATATATATATATATAAATTGGGGATGTGTTTCTATGTTACTTACATCCATGGATCATCGCCCACAAGCATCATATCACCCTCATCATCAGTAAAAACAACTGCCCATTTACCACGGGGATGAAGCTCTCCCTTGATATCAAACATTTTCTCCAGCTCATTTATGAGATCATCATATCCTTTCAACACAGTTAAGTCAACAGCACGACCAACTGCAATACCTTGCATGTGCACCTTTGGAATCCAGAGATATTGTTTCCATTAGGCACTTAAAAAATTAAAGAAATCTAGGTAGAAACCAGGAGACAGCTCAAAGTTTACCTTAGTACGAGTTCTCATGGAAGTAGCAGCACCCTGCTTACCCTGCATCTCCTTGGTTGATGTCTCTGACACAACTAGCTTCTGCTCCTTTGAAGGCTTTGAGGTTTCAGGATTCTGATCGACATTGAGAGTCGTGCTTGTCTGTTCCTTGTCTTGGGGACCAGCTGCACTAGTGCTATCTGTCAAATTAAACCCAAACAACCGGCAACCTGTGGAAGTCTCAGATTTTTTTCCTTTTTCAACTTGGTCAAGCATCAGGCCATTGCTTGGCCTTGATTGAACAGAAGAGGCATAACCAACAAGAACAGTCCGTGGTGTTCCAGTTTTGTTGTTGTCATCCATTGAGTCGCGAAAAAGGTTTAGAGAGACATTCACATGAGGAGAAGGTGCCCAGACATTTTCAGGCCGAGTCCTTGAGTTATAGCCTCCACTGCTATTGGCAAGACAGTTATCAATTTCTTTCTGCCTAATTGGCCACATAACTTGACTTTCACTGCTTTGGACTTCCACCGTGCTTCCTACTTGGGTCAGTTCATGAGATTGGGTTGACCCACGACACCAGAAGGCTGAACCAGCTGAATTTGTAGTAATTTCTACAATTTCAATGCATGAATAAACGTTAATAAAGTGAGCACCCAATACTCTACTAAAAATACTTGCAAGAATAATTTTCCCACACCAGAAGCTGGAATATCAACCGGTCGTGGTCTTTTGCTCTTTACAGCTGGTTGTACAAGATTTATCGAAGCAGAAGGCACAAATGGTTCTATTTCCCATGGAGAAACTCTCTCTGGCCTCTGTATTGTTGCAGGTTCATCCCATTGAATCTAAAAGGAGAAATAGTTGGGTTGGACTAATATATAAACAAGAAAAGAAATAAGTCAGGATACAGGATTTCGAACCAACCTTCAAGGACCGCCATTTAGATTCTGACCAATGTGGGGAAATATCTCCAACCCCGACTATGGTACCGGTGAACCTGATTTTGAAAAAAGAAATCCCAATAGGTAAAAAGGATCTAAGAAGAAGATAGGTGTTGCAGCATAACACATAGACACAAACATACCTTCTCTCAGGTGATTCTTCTCCCTCAAATCTCATCTTGAAACGCATGCCAACAGAGAAACCATTTTTAATAGCCTCCAGATACTTGTTAACCCCAATTATGAATTGGCTTGTCCTGAACAACGGCAGAGAAATGAAATTCAGACCCAATAATAACCAGTATAATAAACTAATACTGTCAACCATGTTTAAACCAAGTAAGAATATTAAACCTTGGCTTGTAGTATACAACAAAGAGGGTATGAGTTGTAACAGCATGAGCAGCAGTAGCAAGCACTCCTAAATGCATGCTCTGGCTCGATATCACAGACGAAGGCATTGTACTTTGTTGACGAGCAAGCCGCCGAACCCCAACCCTTAGTTCTCCATTATCACCTCTATAAAAAAATGCCAATGCAGTTACAACCAAAGATCCTGCAAGAATGGCACACCTGAACACACACATAACACAACACGAAACATAGTTCAAAAAGTCAAAGTACCTGAGAAAAACAAAAGCATCTCCTGCAACCAATCTCTTGGAAGTAACAAAGGTGCTCCACCCTGTTGTAAGTAAATGTCTCCGTGGTTGCCCTGATCATTGGAATTACAAGTTAAAAATAGATCAACAAAGGAATAACAAATGTTATACTTAAGAGGTATATTTATGTCTGCCAAACCCATAACATGTTAAGAAAGCAAATCTAAAATGACATGAAACCATTACCCCTAAATATATGCTTGAACCGCCACTCATACCCATGAAGATCTTTGGCCACCAACTCCTGAGTTGGGGTTGCTTGACTCATATCCTATTTGAAATGAATAGAAACAGAGTTTCAATCAAACACCATAATGTGACAGTCTAACAAGGATCATTATTAGTAGAATTAAACCAAACTTATTACCAATGGTGGCAGGCAGTCGGTGGCATGCTTTCGCAGAACAGAGAACCCTCCATGAGTGCTTGTGTCTGATGCCGTTAAAATCTTACAAAAGGAATGAACTGTCCTCTTTGGAGCCTCAGTTGGGCAGGGATCAGGGCTTGTAGGTTCACTTTGCTGTAATGATAACATAAGATTGCACAAAGACTATTTGAGAAACCAATTATTTTCCTCAGGTCCGTTAAAAAATCTCATCACTCTTCACCCTTTTAAATAATTTAGAAAATATCCAAAGCCTGAGACCTATACAAGGCACTAATATAACTAAATAATTACATTATATTATATGTTTTCATTCCTATTTCCTAAGCAAATCTATCAATGGGGAAAAAAAGATATGAAATAAGCAACAATAAAAAGAAATGAATGAACAACAAAGCATTTACTCACATCTGCTTCAGGCTGCAAAGTGATCTGAGCGTAAACCTCATCTGTCTCTTGTTCTGCCTATTTAAAAAAAATTACATAAAAAATAAAAGATAAAAGATACAAGTAACAGGAAGGCGATCCCTTCAAGCTCAAAAAATAAAATAAAGTGAAACTAACTAGAAACAGAATCAGAGATAGAATACCATTAACTGAACGTGAAGAACACGACATAGGATCTTAGAATGAAGATTAAACAGCGGGGCTTGATGATTAAGTTCCTGATTAGTTGATGCTTCTAACTGCAGAACACATCAGTGCCAACTCAAAAAAAGCAGAAATCT